ATATCCTTCGGATGGGAAGTATGTGTCTTGTCATTGAGATCGCATATTTTGTGCTTCTGATAGAAATTAATGCTGTGGCAGTCGGGATAATCCACGCACAATAACGCACATTCTTCTATCCTCTCAGCTGGTCTGATCGCAATTGTGTGGTTCTTCAGGACTCGATCTTGTATGGAATAAGATGCGTCACAACGATTCGCTGATGTTGTAGGAAACCAACAGATTATAATAAGGAGGCCAGTCCTCATTCCTGTAAAAAATTACAGTTATCGACATCACGATATTTGACAGTTATTTACCGTCGTAGAGGTAATGATAATGATAATGATAAGGGTTTATATAGCGCTAAAACTAAAGACAATATTCAGGAGCGCTTTACATAAGTTAAAGTTCTATACTAATTAAAATTAAAATATTCAAGGCAATAAACATTAGAACTACTGAAACAAACTGAAAGCTTTCCTAAATAGATATGTTTTTAGTTGCTTTTTAAAAATGGCGAGGCCACTACTCGTTCTTATAGTTAATGGCAACGAGTTCCATAAAACAAGTGCAGCATGAGCAAAGGCCCGGTCCCCAAGTGAAGAGCAGTTGCATTGGCTTTTGGAACGAACAGAAGAGATTGAGTAGACAAGCGAGGAGCATAATTATAATTAGTAGCTGGTTTCAGGGACAAAAGATCTTTAATGTAGGGAGGACTTTGGTTGTGTAATGACTTGTAAACAAAGAGGATCAATTGAAACTGAACTCTGAACGTTACAGGGAGCTAATGTAGGTCGATAAGCGCAGGTGTGATATGATCAAATTTTGAAATCTGAAAAATCACTCTAGCCGCAGCATTCTGAACTTTCTGTAAGCGATCGAGTTGATATTTAGGTAGACCGAAGAGAAGTGCGTTAGAGTAATCAAGGTGTGAGGATATAAAGGCGTGGACTGGTGTCTTAGTCGATTGAACAGTAAGGAATTTTCTGATCTGTCCTATGTTGTATAATCCGCGAAAAGCCTTCCTACAAATCTTGCCTATATGAACGTTCATTCGCATATGGGCATCGAACCAGGACCCAAGGTTCCGGATGCTTTCTAAAGGTTTAATGAGGGTGTCACCAATAATAATAGATTCAATAGATGTTTTTTCAAGTTGTTGAATTGGTGGGTGTCAATAGTTAGAAACTCAGTTTTTGCGTCGTTTATCATTAAACGATTAGCAATAAGCCAAGAACGAACATCAGCAATGCACATCTCAATCGCAGAGACAGCGTTAATTTC